AAAAAAAAAAAAAAAAAAAAAAAAAAAAAAAAAAAAACCCACACAAAATCCCAGCTTCCTCCTTAGTAATAACATTGCCCTGTCTCAGAGTATTACTGTACTAGAGAACAACTGCTCTGTGGCTAAGGTTGGAAAATGATGGTGAGCTTCTCTGCTAACATCCACTAACCTGAGAGAAATTATGATGGCAGCAAATGGGGCCCAGGATGCTCCATAATTGCTCCAAGCTGCTCAACTATAAGAACAAAAGGTTTCTTGAGACTCCATGCTGACAGGTTGGGTTTTGGTCCCAGATGCAATTTTCCTACCAGATTTGATATGCACAAGGGGTTCCTGAATTAGGACACTTTAAAAAAAGATGTTCAGAATTCAGAAAGACTTGTAACTTGTGCTGGATTTTATAGCAAACTGCCAAAGAAAAGGAGAGGTTTTGGAGAACTGGCCTCTTCAACTTGGAATCCAGTGCCCAGTACCACTGTTTAGTGGATTCTAAGTTGAAATCAGGAGTTACTAATGTCTGTATTAGCCAAGTTGAAATGGCAGTACAAGGAGAAAGACCCTGTGGCAAGTTTTCTCCTAACCTGTTCTTCTCATGCCTCTCCATGAAGGTCCCCTGAGCTCCACCCCATTGCATCCAGTAGAATTCCAAGGTATGCTAGAAGGGGGATTCATCTAGTAGCTATAGGATTAAATCTCCTTTCTAGTGGACTTTCAGAACATTTCCAATACAGTTAAGGACATTTCCTGACAGGACTTTATTATGATGAAGTTGCAAGAACACATCCTATTCTGTGTATGTACTATCTCCAGCCTTGAAAGGTAGTAACTTAGAATATTAGGGGTTGTCTGAATATGAAATGGGACACAATTAATAACATTAGTTTGAACTGGGTATTTTAGTGCAGATCTGTTTGCATGGGGATATGCTTATTTCAAACTATACACACTTGCACCAAAATAATCAAACGTTGGAATAAAATATAATTTAATTATTTTGGCCCAGTTAGTGTCAAGAGTAGCTTTAAAATAGAAACCAAAGAAATATGAAGTTTTTGTTTTTTTAAACAGAAGACTAATTAGCATTCAGATAACTGCAGGCTTATTCCACTCCAGTGGAGAGAACAAGAATTAAGATACTAAATGCACTGCTCTTCTCTGTTACCAAGCATTTTGCATTCCTGCCTGGGCTTTATTTTAATAGAAGGAAATAAACAGTTTCAAGCTAGCAGGCAACTTATCCCTGGTTTGACTAATTGAATTTCTTGTGCACATGCTCTGCCCCATGTTCCTGGTACTCGCTCTTTGTCATCCACCTGTGCTGGAAAGATTTGTGTGAAGCTACCATGGATCCTCCAGCCCAGGCTGCCAGACTCCTTTCTGGGTTTGCCAGAATTTTAATCTGGTAACCTCTGCCATGGAACAACACCTCCAGCTCAGAGCACATCCTGTCATGGAAGCCTGGGAACATTGACGAGCCCCCTGATAACACAATGTTACTGAGCATGTCCTCCTTGTACTCATCCGGCATCTTCTGGAGGCTCTGGAAGGCAAGGAGATGAAGACCTGGAGAATTTTGGTCCAGCAGCTTTGGCTGAAAAAGTGGCTCTGGGCAACAGAACCGTTCCTTAGTCAAGGTTATCCAGTGGCCATCAGGAGTCTTGCAGCTGATAGGATGCTGCTGCACTTCATCTTGGAGGTCTCTTTCATAGTCCATAGACACGTAGCAGCACTGCTTCTTCATCTGGGTTACTGTCTTCTTCTCCAAGGCATTGAGGACCTGTGGGTTATTGGAGCTCTTTAGCAGCAGGTTGTGCATGTGTTTGGAAAGGAAGCACCCAGCCACATCTAAACGATAGGTGGCATCCCTGCAGGTTTGCCCAGCACAGATAGAAGTGCTGTGAGACACCCCAGCCCCAGCTTCCACAGCAAGGCCTGTGACCCTGCCATGTGAGCAGAGGGAAAGAAGCCCTGTGTTAGCCACATACAAAGCTGGGGTGCCAAAGGCCTCAAAAAGCACCTCTGCCATCTTTTCCCGGTTGGTGGTAGGACAGGAGGGAGAGTCAGTCATGATCACAGGGTGATCTTCAGGAGGGACTCTCAGCCCACAGAAGAAGAGATGGCTCCATAGGTTCTCCATGGCTTCCCAGTCAATAACAATGCCATGCTTGAGTGGGTGGCTTCCAGATGCTGCAGCAGTTTCCATCTCACAGCCAGTGGTGGTGCGATGCCATGGAGTCTCCCACATCACAGCTGGGCAGCTGGGAGCTACAGCTGTTGTCTTCAGGACTGACTTGGGTTTGTCCTCCCCAGCAAAGCCTGCCCGAGTAAAGCCACTACCATTGTCTATCACGATGGCGGTCTTTCCCATAGCGTTACCTGTACCACCAAAGTGTCTGAATTTTACCCACCTGTGACTTCAGAATGGGCAGAATTACTAGTCAATGATTAGAGAGATGGAAAGCAATAAAAAGGCTGACTCACTCTGCAATGAAACAAAAGATTATCTAGAGAAAAGTGTCTAATCATGTTAACAATTAAATAAAAAAGCATTGTTAACCCACTGTGGCAGCTGAGAAGCAGTGACCAAGACTCAGGTTCCTTTGGTGGCAATAATTAGGTTTTTCTGGGCATGTCTACACATACGTTTGAATGCATGTTAACCTATTTTAATGAGCATTAAAGCATCTAAAAAAAACCCTGTTCACCTTTGCTAACTTACATTAAAATAGGTTAATGTGCCCTTTTCTAGTATCTTACAATGGAGGTACTAAATTTAATGTGCATTAAATTTAGTACCTGAAATGCATTAATTAACATGTAGACACACCTACAGTAGAGCTACCATCAACATGAATTAGTCCTGCAAGGTACCTTTGGCTTTCCCAGCATGGGTCTGTTTATGTGTCAGTATTGTGACATTCCATTGGTGCCACACAACACTAGAAACGAGATTCTCAAGAGAGACGATTCATTGCATTTTTGCCACCAGGGTCAATTCTGTAAATGTGCTCTGAGCATAACTAAGCCAAGCTTGGGTTGGGGAGACTGCCTGAACAGAGATAATGTCTCTGCAAGGGAAGGATGAAGCTGTCGGTTCATGTGCAGAGTGACCAAGAGCTGGATCATGTTGGGAAAAGAAGCTTTAAAAGTTGGGGAGCTGTGAACTGGGACTGGGAATGTGGACAGCAAATATATTTGTGAAACCCATTGGCCTCCTATCCATGAAGGTTAGTCCAGGAAGAAAGGCAGAAGGGAGGGCAGGGTAACATCAGACAAAGTAGGCTATCACCTACAGAAGCGTATGCAGTTTTTAATGAGTTAGTCTCTAAGGTGCCACCCTGCCCTCCCTTTTGCCTGATATCAGACTAATGTGACTAACTACTTCCTTTATGCATAAAGAAAGTGATAACCTACTATTGCCACCAGTTACTTAGCTCAAGTAATAGCGGTTTATGTGGTGGATATAAAGTTTTCAAGCCTTCAGATAAATCAGGACTATATTATGATGCCACATGGTGAAATTTTCTGGTTTTTACTTTTCTTTTTTAAAATCTAGGAATTTACATTAAAAACATGCATGCTTTGACACTTAAATAAATGAAAAATAAAATACTTAAAGTTAGGAAATGCCAGCATGAACATTATCGATTACAAGATGAATTCAGTTCCCTTGTGGTCCTTGCATTTTGATATACCTTTAATTACATGCTCATATTCTGTTTTTTTCCCACACTGCCCCTACCTCATTCAGTACCCAAGACAGAATTACAGTACAGCTGTAGCTGAATTTCCCGTTCTGAGGGGTCACTAGTCTGCTGTAATGGTCCCAGTGTTTGGATCTCATCTGCTTTTATAAGCACTATCCAGATACTTTCTTCAGCTCTGGCCTCTCACACACTCCTAGGGCATAGATTCCCACTCTGGCCCCCTTGCTTACAAAATACAACCCTTCAGTCCAGTTGCTGTAAACCCTGAGACCAGGTTTGATCTCTCCTTCCTAATCTCTGCAGTAGTTTGTGCATGTTCCCCCAGAATTTCATCCTCATGGGCAGTCTGAAATATAATTTAACTCTCATGGGCCACATGATAGATAAATTAGGGAACCCATAGTCTTTACAAAGGGATTTCTTAAACACATGTTCTTTACTGTTAGATGACACAGAAGAGTGAAAACCACCTCAAACCTGAACCTGAACCTGACTCCCCTTTCCAGCTCCCCTCACCCCTGCACCTTTTGAGCCTTCACCTCTCCTGAATGTTCTGGGGAGAATATAAACCCTCCCTGCCTCCACTGCAGGTGCATCTGCACATACTTTTAATGCACTGTAAGCTTACTGCACAGCAAAATACTTCACAGTAAGCTTTCCCCTAGAGCGTGTCTACACGTGTGCCTGTCAGAAGCAAATTTGCTTCTGATGGAAGCAATTCAGTATAGGGCTATTCTGCCCTGCTGTGCCCTGCTGCAGTATCCAGAGGGAGTCCAGGCTCTTCTGGGTGCCAGTCCCTGGCTGGCAGAGGGCACTCGGGTCAGGCCTGGGCTCAGGGGGTTGGGGGGCGCAAGGGGACCTGTTTCCCAGCCGCACTCACCAATCAGCAGATCAGGGTGCAGGGCTGGGAAACTGCCCCTTCCCCCAGCAGCTGTTTACCAGCTGTGGCCAATTGGGATGTGGGGCTTGGAAAAAGCTGCTGGGGAATCATAGAATCATAGGGCTGGAAGGGACCCCGAAGGATCATCAGGTCCAGGCCTCTGCATGACCAGGAAAGACATCTGTGGTCAGATGACCCCAGCCAGGTGACCATCCAGTTTTCTCTTGAAGACCTCTAGGGTAGATGATTGTACCACCTCTGGGAGGAGCTTGTTTCATAGTCTGGGCACCCTAGTTGGGAAGGGGACAGCTTCCGAGCCCCACGCCCTGATCTGCTGATCAGTTCATGGGGCTGGGAGGCAGCTGCCTGGGACAGGATACAGTTCCCCCACCCCCTGCTGCCTGGACTGACAGGGACAAATTGCTCCTAGTCAGCTGTCTGCATGTGCACTACTGTGCAGTTGCTACTACGTAATTAATCTATGTGTATGTACAAGTAGTAGCCAACTGCACAGTAGACTAATTTACTGCACAGTAAATGCTGTGCATGTGTAGACTGTGATGTTTTACTGTGTAGTAAATTAGTCTACTGCACAATAAAGTGTCTCATGTACAATTGCCCAGTATCTTTTTCTCCTCCTGAGAGGCAAGGACTTTTTGGTGATACCACTTATCAGACCAATTATATAGCTGGAAGAAATGTTGAACAAGTTCTCAGGAAAAAAGTGCCCTTCTTCACATTATAGTGGTCTGGGCTTCCACTTAGCAGCATATCATTTTTAAAGGTAGTCTGACACCTCCTTTTCTTATGCCAGGGTTTTCCATTTTCCAGCCCCTGTGTAGGATTGTTAGGGAATGGTCATTAAAATTAATGATTTAACTACTAACACCCATTGTTCCATCAGATTAAGGCTATTCAGAAATGATGGCCTTGTTTCAGCTGCACAGGCATTGTCTGTTTTCTGCCATAAAATGGAAGATTTAATTCATATGGACTATTACAAATGCAGAGTGTTCATAAAATACAATGCAGTTTATAACAGGACACAGATGTATCCCCCCAACTGCTGTACTTATTCTGTGGATGAATAAGGTATAAATAGGGCAAGAGTGATTTAAACTAAAGTACAGTGTTGGCACAAGAATACATAGATGTACACTGGCCATAAATTGATGTAGGATAGAAAGAAGAAGGTTCCTAACCATGAGAAAAGTGAGGTTCTGGAACAGTCTTCCAGTAGGAGCATTGGGTTGCATATAAGTTGTTTTCAGATGAAGAATGATATATATATGAATACAACTATATGACATGCTTGCCTGCAAGAGGAGGGGATAAGCCTTCAGCACCCTGCCAAGTTGCTTGTAGTCTAATGTTCCTCAGTCTATAATGACTGCCAGAGAAAATCCTATGAGAAAATTCTGTTTTCAGAGCAATGTATTGTGAGAGTAAATAAGGCCTGGGTTGAGACACATAGAGCAATGAGGAGAAAGCAAAATATTGAACACTTGTGCTCATTTGGTGAACCCTGTCCATCCTCTATGCAAAATGAGGCAGGCCAGGGGTCCCATAGAAAAAATATTAGGTGACCATGTAATTAAAGACAATATTATAATATATGTATAAAAGAGGGCTGAGGTAACAGTGGGAAGCAGTAGGAAGGTCTGCATCTGGAAGGGAAGGCCACTTCCCCCCTAGCCAAATGTAGATGGTAAAGAGCTAGTGGGGTCACTGCTGTGATATTACTGTCAGTACGGTTAAAATCCCCCCTCAATTGTAAATACTAGTAACTAATGGCAGATGCAGCATCAAGTCAATGGGGCTGATATTATCTCTGCTGTATCCTTTAGCAGCTTTCCCCAACCTACCCTCATCCTTCTCAGTCTTGTCTGGGTTGCACTTCAGCCAACATGCCCTCATCCATGCCCCCATCTTAACTAGACAATAGGTGAGGCACTGCACTGCACTTTCTGAATCAGACATGACAGAGATAGATATGTGGAGTTTCATGCCAAAAAACCTCTCATCCCATGAATCCTCTGTAAGTCTCCCAGTGGCCTAGTGTATGCACTGAATAGGATATAAATAGTCAGAAACAGCAAATAGTGGGACAGTGATGTCATAATCCCTTAAATTATTTAATATAACAATATGTTTGAACCCAATGTTCTCCTACTATGTACTGCCTTTCTTCCTTTTTTGACTTGCTGCTCCTGTACTATTTCCCCTATCCTTCAAGGAATGGTGTAGACCTAACCACAATGTGGCTAAGAGAAATGTCTCTTAAAATGTCTTTTAAAAATCAAAAACAAATATGTGTATCTCTGTTGACCTGAAGAAATGCATATTCTGTGTTGCTCATGTTCCCAAAACAGAAGGAAGGTGCACCCTGCACTGTAGCCCCATACAAGCCAATAATCCAGTAGCATCACTGATAGGAGGGATTCATGGGTGCTTGAATTCCCTCACCTGGTGATTTTCAAGTGTTTATCTTCACTTCTCTTTGACTCCAAGGTCCTCTTGGGGTTGTGACAGGACAGAATTTGAGGTCTTCTTTATAGTCTAAGACTGCTGGTGGTGGGACCCACCTGGGGAAGTTCTCCTGGAAGTTCTGGAATCTGGAAGTTCTCCTGGAAGTTCTGGAAATGAATTGTTGGCTCATGTTGCCTCATAGAGCACCACACACAGGTTGGAGCAGCACAGGTTTTGGAATCTGTAACATGAGTTAGCATTCAGTGTCATACCAATTCTCTGCTCCTCATTGTCATCACAACTGAGAAGCACTGTCCCCAAGGGAAGATACAGTAATACTGA